GCACCCTCAGCATGAGAATGGAGGAAGGACTCCATTTCACTCCTCCAAAAACTTTTAGATCAAAATCATTCTAGTGCCAGGCTTCATAGAGCTTCTAATAGAGACATATATAGTTAGTTGTTTTTCAGAGCTTTCTAAAGATGCCTGTTTGACAGAATAGATTTTCTTGAAAGAAGGAATTTCAGAAAATGATAGAGTTGTCAAACTGACGGCTATTTCACAGGATGAGCAAAATTTGATACACATCTAACAAAAATCCACTACAATCCATCCATTCTGCCCAGAATTCTGCTGGAGGAAATGAATGGCAAGTCTGCTTGGATTTACTCTCTTACCTCAAGGGATAACTGATTAAATATTTCAGAATAGGAATAATCTATTACAGAAAAATTATTTCCACATCTATTCACTTTTTTTTTTTTTTTTTTTTTTTTTTTTTTTAAGGGTGCATATTGGCAGAGGCTGCCACTGACTTCAGCATGTAGGCTTCGCTTGTGTTAGCAAGACAGCCGTTTATCCTCTCTCCCTTCATGACTCACCACTGAGCGTCCTGCAGAAGGAGAGCAGGAGCCCATCATAAGGGATGCTGAGAGATTCCGAGAGGCAGAACATGAGCAAGAGATTCAGTGACTTCGCTGTGATTTCTCAAAAAACTAATCAGATGGAGGGCCTAGCCCAATTCACAAACAATTTCAGAGTGAAATAAATGAGGAAGCAACACAGACCAGGTTGAGGTATACAGTATATCTCTACGTGCAGACTGGTCCCAGTGGTGGAAAAGTTTCTGTCTTGATAGCTGTGAGGCTCCCAGAGAAATGCATCTGTCAAGGCCTAAACATGCAATAGTTTGTAGGGCTTTCACTGACCTGATGTTATTTGGTTAAAGAAAGCATGAGCTGTTTATCCAAGCCATCTTAAATACGCTAAAACTATGAGTTATGCAGTCTAAAGGGCTACAGTAACCATCACAACACAGCACAAAATCTTGCTTAGAGGCATTCTTTATCCTTGGAGGCTATTTAGTCAACCTTTTACTGATTCAAATGTGTTTTGCCTAGAATATAAATCATGTTATTTTTTTCCCTTTCATGTCACTATTTCACTCTGGCAACAGTTTTGTTGACGCGCTTTGCGCAGCTTCAAAGGATCTTTGTTCCTAGGCCCAGTATCCCAGGGCTGCTAACCACAAGCCTAGTGTCAGTAAATGAAACCCTGAGTGATGTAGAAACTGGGAGTAGCAGTATTCACTGGAGCAGTTTCAATCTAATAATAATGTACTGGTTTATAAAAGATATACGATACCCGCCTTTGCCTATCGTGATGTATGGTTTGACTAAGGAAGACCAAATGCTGTGAACATGAGGACCCAAACCTCAAGGTTCCTGAGCATAGCAGAAATGACTTATTTTACATACAGAAAGAGTTTATAAAACTTACCTTGTGAAGAAGTGAAGCAAACATATTTTTTTTCCCTCTCAAATTGGCTCCAACAATTACTACCTGGTTTATTTTCTACTGCAGGGTTGTTGTACTACAAACTCACAGAGACCTTCCACTGATTGCTTGTTTTAAACCATGTGTAAATAATTTCCATATACTCTTAATGATTCAAACCTGTGATTAACTGCTACTTGGCCAAGAAAAGAAGTTAACTGACGACTGAAAATAGAGGTAAAAATTACACATTCTAGGATATTAATCTGCAAGTACAGAAAAATATCTATATATATCATTTCTGTTTACCATCTCCATATGTTCAGGCCAGCATCTTAGTCCAAATGTCACCTGTATTCATTGTTACTTTTCTATTTGAATAACAAAATATATCACCTGCAGCACTGTTGCCTCTGTTCTTCCTCATGATTTTTCCTGTCTCAAGAGGAGATTGCCCCTGAAGGAGGATGCAGTCATTTGCAGTGAGCATGGAGGTGCCTAGATTTAGCCCAGACGGTGTGTTCAGCTCAAAGAGGCACCTGAAGTCCTGTAGAAGGCACTTCATGACCAGTAAAGTGTACTTTTCACAATAATAAATACTAAAATTCCACCCAGTTCTCTTTCAGGTGCTGAAATGACCTCTGGGGAGCTCACCATTACTACTTTGGATATACATATATTATCAGGTTATCTACTGTCTTTGGCTTGAACTTTCATGTTCAAAATGTGCCTCCAGATGAGTTAATCCCTTCTTCAGCCTGAGAATGATGCTTGTCTCATGCCATTCCTTCTGGTGGGACACTGGCAGACAACAGCTGTCTGCTTTCATTAGACAAAAATAACAAACCTTATTTTTTGGAAGACAAAAATTATACTTGCACCAGTAGCATGCATGTAAGGAAGACTGGAATTTGAAAATATATTTAATACCCTAGGGCAGCTGAGATAACTTCTCAAATTAACAAATTAGCAAATCTCATCCCTTACAAAGGTGTATCATAACGTAGAAGTCTATGTCTGAATTACATGTCTAAGCTCTCACTTTAGATGATAGTCCACAGCAATGCAGCTTACCAAATGCAAATCCTTGCCTTCATTGAAGTGCACAGCTCAATAACTTGAATTTATAAACAAGAAGGCAGAATGTGTTGAACTAGAAGGTCTCCAGGGTTGAAAATTTCTTATTTAACTCCTGTAAAATTTTTAGGCTCAAACAGGTCTATGTTAAACATATGCACCTTGTACTCTACATTATGATACATTATCACAGCAAAGCAATTCCAAGTTCATCACAATTCCACATCTGCCTTCATTCCATATATCTTTCCAAATAAATGTTAAATTACCACAGAGTGTGCTTTCCAACATCATACATGCATGAATGTTAGTAAGGAATGGCTGTAGAAAACATATGAAGCATCAAATGACCCTCAAGAAAACAGGCAGTTTTCTGCAGCACTGTGCAGCCTTCTCTGTAAACAGGAAGAAAAGGATGGAAGATCTGTTTGTTTTAAGAATGCCTGTATTGACCATCCTCTGCCTTCAGGCTTCTCTCATAACTGGGTTAGAATTGCCTCTATGGACATAGATAAAATCATAACAGCTACATTTTGTACACATTCTGTGCACTCTAAGTATGTTAGAGCCATAAACTACTGTAATGTAATTTAAAGACTGCCATCTCTGAAATTTCTTCTCCTGCTGCTGCCATTTTTTTTATAGTGTTGTAAATAGCATTTTTGCAGAATTTACAATACTGCCAATGAATGAGAAACCTCTTAAAAAGCTGACAGTTTTAGATCACTTCACAGCTATTCGTTTAAAAATAACTATTTAATGACCTTATTCCCAGAATTACGTATGTAAATAGGTTTCTGTCAACTCACAAGTGGCCAGAGAACAAAGCACTTGTTAAGGAACAATGTGATACTAGAAGAGATTAATGAGCTTCTGCATACGGATCCTTTAAACCCCCTGCTTTGCAAGTAAGAGATACTTAAAGTACTTTAAAAAATCTATGTATTTTTTTCTCAGTGTTCTGTGGATTTGCATGAAAATCAGTTTGGTTGAGCTACTGAGGAATTAACAGGACTGACAAAACAGTTGTGATAAAATTACCCTAATAAACTCATTGACTGCCTGCTCGGATGGGGTCATTGGAGGATCGTCGATGACTAGGAAAACCCTGTTACACCTGCTGCTTCACCCTGTGGGGGTGATATTGATTGTAATTAATTTGCATTTGGTTGCACCTGTGTGCTGTCCTGCTCATTAAAGAGACCTCTGCCTGATGTTGTTGGTAGTGCAGGTTAAACAACATTGAGTACCCAAGAGGTAACACCCAGTACTGTTAAGAGAAAGACTGTTCCAAAGTCCGTAATCCCAGAACAGGTTAAGCCAATGTACACAGGGCCTCTTTGGTGTGTTTCCTACATTCTCCATGATCTGCAGGATCCCTAATGATCGGCGGCCATGAAGTAAGAACAACTTAGAAAGTTTGAATTGTATATTGAGTTATTGGGTGGTTCAGAATCTCCCCGGATAGTTTGCTCTTCACTGAAAAGGTAAGTGAACAGATCTTGATGAGTACTGCTATTAATAACCTTTCTGAAATCATATTTTTATAAATGATTGTGTTCTAAATGAGTTTAATGTTGCTTGTGCCACATTAGCTCGGTTTAATTACTCATGGGCAACAGAACAGTACAAACAAGACCTGAATATGATGAGTCCTGTGATGGTCTGTGAGTCAAAAAGAAAAGCATAGCAGGCACAGCAGAAGAGCCATGCCTGAAACTGCTGGGAAGTACAACATGACTTGTCATGGACTGATTGGCAACATGTGCCAATATTTGCTTATAAAACTCCTAGTAAAGGAGAGTGGGGGCTGGAATGACATTGTTAGGTGGCTGTTTGACAGCATATGAAGGAAGAGGACTGGAGGGGTGATAGTGCTACATGAGATGCCCAGAGGCTGACCTTGAGACTACAGGGAACAAAGCTTTCATTCACCTTGATACTTGTGCTTTCATGGGCAAGCACCAGTGACCAGTGCCAATTCTAGCTCTTGTACCCTCTAGCCCCAAACAGACACCCTACGGTGCTATTAAGTGTTCCTGTCAAAGAAAAAAAAGGGTTTAGTTATATACACAGGTCTTAGACTCACATATTTTTAAAGGTATTAAAAAACCAAGGGTGTAAAATCCTTGGCTTGAAAATAGAAGTGAGTCTTGGAAAAAAAAAAAATAAATAAAAAATAAGAAATGTCCTGCAGTAAATTCTTGTGAAGAAAATGTTTGATATTGAATACGAACTTTAAATCTAACCAAGAAAGAACAAGTGAAATCAAATAAATTCAAATATGAAATAAAGTGCATATTCTTAACCATGGAGTAATTAAGCAAGAATCTGGTATACATGAAATGATGGATTCACTTCATCCCTTGAAGTTTTCACAGTAGGACTGAGCGTTTTTCTCAACGAAGTGAGCAGTGAAGGAGCATCTGGGTGCTCATCTGGGAGCAACAGTCTATGAAATGCATGAGATCACAGTATGCAATACATCATTGCTTTTAAGCTGTAGGACTTTTTATTTGCCTGTAGGTTTCTCAATGGATGAACTGAGAGAAACAAGGGGGCAAATAAAAGCAAAATAAGCTAAACATTTACCAAAGGAGATAAATGAGTCCTAGCCATTTTTAGGGCACCGACATAACTTATGTGACCTGTGCTCAAATGACTTTGTACTTGTGTGACCATCAATACTACTATGCACTTGCTAGTGCTGTTAGTGCTGCTGAGGAAGTTGGTTGCAATAGGGCCTTGGAAAATGAAATTTTTTTCCTTTTTGTATTCTCCATAAAAAGAAACTGACTGCAAGCAGAAGACACCTTTCCTCAGAAAGCAGTGGCAGATCCAGCTTATATGTATCCAAACTTCATGCCTCAACTAAGTAGTGACTTCTGATGAAGAAGCCCCAGGCTAACCAGCTGCCATCATCACTGCTGTTGGAGGGACTAGCTACAAGGAAGGAAGCTACTTTTAGAGGAGATTCTATGAGGAAATATTCTGGAGGTAGGAGGAAAAGTTGTCTGCAAAAATATATTACAGGGATATCTAGCATTGCCATCAACTGTAAAAAAGAAAGGAAACCTTAGTCCCTGAATGACTTACAAACTCCGAAGCAAAAAAAATGAACCAACCACAACTTCTAAATATACATTCTTAAACAACAAAAGATAAGTTGTAATAACATTAGACTTTTACCAGTAATTATACATTTCAGTGTAATTGAATTATTCATTCAGTTGTTAGCATATGCAAGTTAAAACACGCTCTTCAAATCATACTGTTCTCCCTCCCTGAGAATGTCCAGTCTAAAGACACCTTCACCAAATACTGTGCAACTTACTGGAACGATTCTCAAATAAAATCTCCATTAAAAACAAAAACAAAAAACCTAAGCAAACAATCCATTAATAAACACCCCCCAAAGAAAATATTCATGATCTAAAACCTTGGGTAACTTCAGTTATTTCCTTTATAGGTCAGCAAGTTTATCGTCACTTTCTTTATCACACCAACAGAACGGGAACATCCCACAACAGGGCTGCAGCCATGGCTTCCAGATGATGTTATACACAGACAGCTGCTGTGGGACTGCAGTCAGTGTCCTGCGGTGCTCTTCAATGGCTCTCCCAATCCGCTCGATTACAGCGTCAAAGAGGGGCTCGGTGTCAGCTGACAGAGGCTGGGACTCAGAAGGGTCTCGTGAGAGGTCAAACAGCAGTGGAGGGTCATGATGGGTCACGCCTTCTCCAAAACATGGGCAAAATCCTCTGTCGTAACAAGCTCCAGCCCCGAGTGGACGGAAGTTTGGGGTTACATAATGAGCCTTCCAGACAGCTCCACCTGCCAGGAAAGAAAAAAGGCTCAGAATGATATTGATGGTTATTATCACCAAGCATCAGAGGACTGAATGTTTTCCTACGGTTAATTTTTGTGAGATTGGTTTGCACATTGGGTCTACATTAACTACTCGATAGAGTTTTGTAATTTCATTTAAATTGAATGACACAAAATATAAACTAATACTGTAAAATGATTTCTGATTTTTCTAAATTTCTTCAAAATTTTTCAGCAAATATCACTTATGCCTATTTTTGTTATTTTACATAGACAAGAAAAAAAGATTTGGGGTTTTCATGGCTTGTTCCTTGTTAGGGTAGGTCAGACAAAGGACTGAGACAAAGACTTCTGCCTGAGACAAGGAAGGCATGGATTCTCCAGACCTTGCATTCAAATAGATGGATGGGCAAGACCCATCCTGAACTCCAGTATTCTGCTTGGTACTACAGCTTACTACTGCTTATGTCGCATACTTAGAAGCCATGAGCAAATACTTTGTGTCACAAAAGTACAGGCAATGTTCTTTATCATCTTACACATGGAACTATTTGGAAAGTTTGAATTCCTCTCCAAAATGGGTAAACAAGTCTGTCCTACTGTAGACTAAATTGAGATCTTGGGCAATAATAATTGTACTCACTGTCCTTCTGGTGCCATCGCACAGCATGTAAATGAGTGCCACAGTAATGAAACAGGAACTTGTGCTCTGAGTGCTCAACTGTTCCTTGTAGTAAAGGCATCAAATCCCGGCCATCAATTACTCTAACAGAAAAAATGGAGATCATCAGATTGGGGACAGCTGTTCAGTTCTATATTCCCTCTGGACACCTCGGGTTGGAATTGACAGCTCTGAACAAAGAAGATGCTTGTAGACTATAAGCAGATGTTGAATCTCAAATGCAGAGAAGAGGTGACTGAGCTAGAGTGACTTATGTGCCTAGAAAAGGAGCAGGAGTGGAAAAGAAAATGTCAGACCCTTAGAATATATTTCAGAAATAGGTTTTCTATTATCTTGAGAGAAAAGGAGGAATAAGGACACTTGTTTGTACCTGTCCTGAGGTACTACTCCTCCAGCCAAATGAACTACTGTGGGATAAATGTCCATAAGGCTGGTAGGTTCACTGATCACTTTGCCTGCAGGTAACACTCCTGGCCATCTAAATATTCCTGGGACGCGGATTCCTCCTTCCCAGCCTCCCATAGCTTTTCCACCTTTCATTGAAAACAAAACAAAACAAAACAAAAAAAAAAACACCACATTTTCATTAAAATAAATGCTTTATTTAAAATAAAAAGAAATTTTAGATGAATGCTCTGTATTAGCATAAACTCTCTATCTTATCTTCTTGAGTTTTCCTCTTAGAGTTTACCACTAAGCTCCTTCTCATTAGCACCACTGATAACGTATTGATTCAATCACTCCTTAAGTTACCTTCTACTCTCACTCCTTTTTGTTGTTTTATAAGCATGTTGCAACATTAGAACTCAATGTGGATAAAATTTTTAGGTTTAAAGTGATTTCCCAACACTGTTCTCCTTTGCAACCATATGAAATACTTGCTGCAGTTAAAGCAAAGTTTCAGATAGTATCATATTTATGGATGTTAAGCATGTGTAATAACGATTAATTTGTGATCAGTTGCCCCTTAAGGAAGAGCCAGTTCGAAAATCATAGAACTATTTGCACATACTAGAATTGTGTACATTTTTGTATGCATAATTATCAACTCCCAGTGATAAAAACCTGTTAATTCTGAAACATGCAGTCTTACCTAAGCTTTAGTGGTACCCTGAATACTGTAGTAGTTGTTGCTGGGTTGTCACCATCTTACCTCTGTATATTCCATTCCAACCACCCAGCTGCCTTTTGCCTTCTTGTCTCTCCAGCCATCCACCATGATCAGAGGCAAAGTAAACTAGAGTATTTTTTTTCAAACCTTCCCTGTCAATAGCATCTAGAACCTGCCCTGCAAACACAAGAATGCATATATATTTAAAAATTAAAAATATAGTTCACACAATATACCTTTTAGCCTCTGACTTGCAAACATTTATCTATGTACGTATGGCCAATGTTTAAAAGAAAAGTTTTGCAGGATGGAGATTTACATTTGTTATTTCACTGTCTACAAAAGCAAAAAATGGTGATGTGCTGTAAATCTTTTTATAATTAGCATTTTAGAAAAAGAGTGCAAGAATGACAGTTACAGACCAGGAGCCTCTATTGTAAAGGAGAGAATTATGTAAGTAAAACGTTATTCAAGGCTTCAAAAACTTAGATTCTGCATTTGCAGAATGGAAAGGCTCACTTGATCAAAGACTCTAGAAAATAAAAAGCTAACAGTGTAAACCAACAGTGACAGATATTAGGACTTTTTTTCTCCCCGCTGTTAATTCTGTTCCTTGTTCTTCTACTGACAGCTGCATTTTTATTATAAAATGCGTTATTACACTTCATTGTGCACAGCTAGACGTTAAGTAGCTGGAGCCACTTTTATTTGCTGGTGACTTACCCACCATCCAGTCCATCTCCTCTACATTGTCTCCATATAAGCCATGGCTACTCTTCCCAAGAAACTTCTCTGATGTGAGTAGAGGGGTGTGAGAGTGTAAAAATGAAAGAAAGAGGAGGAATGGCTTGTGCTTATTTCTAAAAAACAGAAATCAACACTTGGTTACTAAGAGAAAGGGTCTCAGTACTTACAGAGCTCAGTCATAATGGAAAATGGTATTATGATTTACATACATATTCCAATAGTAAACTCAGAAACGTCTTACACCGATTTGGATCTGTCTGCAAAATACTGTTTTTTTTTGTTTTCTTTTGTTTTTTTTTCCCCATTGAGTCACACATAGAAAAGTTTCATACTGAGGCTCCACTTTCTGCTATTGCAAACTATCACAGTGGTACTGAAGTGAAGAGATTTGTCACCTGCCAGTGACTTCCCACATAAGTCTTCGTGATATAGCTAATTCATCGCTTTTCTTTCCCTTGCTGGCAAACACATTTCTCCTATCATCTGCCATTAAAGAGAACTGGCCCTAACATGGAGCGCAGTTGAACCTTACTACTGACTGGCTGCCAGCCTGTTTTGACCCCATTTAGTAGAACTGGCCCCTCAGACAGTTGTTTACCCATCACATTATGTTTTTGTCTAGCTGCATGTGTGACATTTTGTCCTGAAGGATACTGTGAGAAACAGATACTGTGAGAAACAGCTCTGCTGAAATCCAGAAAGATTACATTAACTGGCTTCCCTTTGTCAACTACATGGGTAGCTTTGTCAAAAGAAAAGAGATTAAGTTGATTAAAAAGGACTTTCCCCTCATGAACCCGTGTTGGCTGTAGCCAATTACTGCACTGTCTTTTGTTTTAGTACTATAGAATCATTATTAGCATATATTACTATTCGTTATTCTATCTTCTGTTAAAGAATATACAGAGACCTCACAGAGGAAAATGCTGTTTAAAAGTTTAAAGACATGCAGAAAACCAGAATAAGTGTTTGTAACAGAAATTCACATTACCTTTCAATAAATGAAATGGCCTCTCTCAAAATAAAAGATGTAGTCCTTTCTGTCACCATTGGCTGCTCAGTGACTTCATGGTTTCTCATTATAATGCAGTTCCAATATCTTACAAATCCATAACTTGAGAACCAGGACACAAAAAAAAGAAGACTAAACAGAGCAAGGCAGGTCACCGTTTTCCAGTGAACAGAAAACAAGCCGGTGAGTTTCCCTAGGGCAGTGGTGAGCGTAGCGAGGGCAATCATCTGAGTATAAAGCCAAACTTTCCTTCTGAAGGCTCTATCCATCTCTGGTTCTTCTGTTGTTTGGCAGTCACTTATTAGCGTAAAAGGCATCCCATAGAAATAATCAAACCCATGGTTCAAAGGGTGATGACAATGGTCATTTCGGTGTTCACAGTTAACACCTAGATGCCACTTCCCTGAAAATACATATTATTAAAAGGTAAAGAAATAATATGTAAAAATGAGCTTTTCTTCATTAAAACATTTCTCAAAAAAATGTTTGTTTTTTTTTTTTTCTTGCTTGTGCAACTTCTTCATCCCACAGATACATACTTAAGTATGCATGGATAAAATGGTGTGTATCTTATAACTGATGAACGTTAACCACTGTAAATTATAAATTTCCACCAGAGTTATTGGTTCTCTGTATACATATTCATGCCTTGATCATGTAGCTATGATCAAATACAAATAAGTCTGCACTATGAAAAGAACTAGATATATGGAAAGAATCAGTTTTTCATAACTCTACAAAATGTATGGCCTTCTTGAAGATGAAATGGTATGAAATGGGAGAAGGGGGACCATTGGAAAGCACATGGAAAAATAACACTGTTCTATTGTCTTTTTACTTTCAAGATGCTATGAAGACTTGCTTCTGGAAAGTTTTTAATAACTTAATGGAAGGATTTCAGCAAGACTCAGTGATGCATGGTGTGCATCAAATAGCATACATCTCAACAGTGGTTTTGTCAGGTAAACCACAGGATCCAGGGCTTACGCTCAAGAGGTCAAGATTCATCATGAAACTGTATATGTTTAAGTCAGTTTGTTGATAATATTATCTCCATATCCTGAATGAGAATATATATATATATATTTTGCTGTTTATTTGTATTTAATCATAAACAGTCAAAGTGTTTTTCTTTTAAAGTCTTCAAACATCAAAAGGAAGACCTCGTGGCATTTTACAATACCATATGTTCTTTTTTTTTATGATCAGATGTTCACTATTATGATGAATAGCACATCAAAATTATGCTTTTCCTTCCTTTTTAAGTTTATGCAATCAGACTGGTTAGGTACTTACACAGAAACACAAGTCGTCTCCTTTGGCTCAAACACTGAGGCTCAAGAATATCTGAATGAAATGACAGGAGTCTTGTGCAGGAGGTGCAGCTTAATTACTTCTTACAACCTCTAATGCAATGGAGTACTTGGATGTCAGATTTATAGATCAAAATGAACCCTCAGAATTTTACTAAAAAAACTAATTTGCAACCAATTCTTATTGTGGATTAAAGAACTATGCACTTACTGAAATACATCATCCTAAACAAAGAAAGAAAGTTATTTTTTTGGATGTTAATATAAAGAAAGGGGAAAGCTATATTCTAGGTGCATGAATTATTTACAGCCAAAATCTATATTCAGTTTACCTCTTAACATATTTAGAACCAGCTGTAAAATGAAACAGGTTTGTAATAAACATGTAGATGTGTTGGTCATAAATACAGGTGCAGCTAAAGTATCCTTGGACTTCAGATGTACTTTGACACCTTAATCTCTAGTTGAGTTTGATAAAGGTTTCTGACATGCTCCAAAAAGCTCAAAACTACAGAAGTTAAATTGTCTAATAAGGATAAATTATTCCTTGAGGGTGTATGTTATACAGCAGTGGCTTTATGACTTACAAGGACTCTACAAAGCATTTCCTGACATCAAACCACAGTTTATCAGTAGGATTTAACTATGCAATTAAACTGATTGTGCTCAGAACAAAGCAATGACAAACCACTCAGCTGCAGCAATTAAGCGGCCATTCAATTGTAATGATATGGACAGATGTTATTTAAGATTTCTTGTTTCATGACTTGAATGTTATTTATTCTTATGGTTTCTTCTGGTAGTTTTTTATTTTGCTTTTATGTCACTATACCACCTAAAAAGTTCATATAATCAGAATCTGTGAATCTAGATAAACTACATGACTAAAAGACACTCTCAGGGAGGTGAATCAACAGGAGGGGAATCAAATCTTTGAAAGGGTAGATAACAGCAGGACAAGGGGAAATGGTTTTAAGTTGGAGGAGGGAAGATTGAGGTTGGATGTCAGGGGGAAGTTCTTTACAGAGAGAGTGGTGAGGTGCTGGAACAGGCTGCCCAGAGAGATTGTGGATGCCCCGTCCCTGGAGGTGTTCAAGGCCAGGTTGGATGGGGCCCTGAACAACCTGGACTAGTATTGAATGTGGAGGTTGGTGGCCCTGCATGTGGCAGGGGGTTGGAGATTCATGATCCTTGAGGTCCCTTCCAACCCTGGCCATTCTGTGATTCTGTGATAGCTGAAATGCCAGGGAAAATGGTGGCCCATTTTGCTAGATACCTCCCAGGTGGGATGCAGCAGTCTCCCCACAGGACAATTCCTTTTCAAAGTGGGGACAAATCTGATTATTTCATTAGTGATTAAACGCTGATGCCAAGCTGAAGAACTTGGCTAATGGGCACAGGCTATTTTACAATATTGCTACAAATCCAACAGAAAGATTTGTTAATATAGAACTTAAAATGTTTAGAAGGCTTTACTTTGTTTGCTGTTGTTCTTTATGTCTCCAATTTATTCTGCTGGATGAATATAAATCCATTGCTGCAAACATTTTTTTTGCAGTAAATTCAGTTGCACAACTGTTGTTTTTTTTTTGTGTGTCAGTCATAGATTTTTGCTATGGGCATTTAGAGGCTTGGATGAAGTAGGGCAAATCATTGAATATTCATCTCCGGAACTTTTGTGTTTCCTCAGTTCTGCAGTACCATGTGACATATCTAAGATAAATAATCATTTGAAACTGCATCGTGAGGAAAAGTTACAACTATATTAAAAAAAGCCTGTAAAATATAAAGTAAAATGGAATTTCTATTAATGCTGAAGGATGTAATGTTTTGTGGGTTTTGCTTAAATACTGGTGAACTACAAAGGCGTGATGTACTTAAAAAGAAGTAATTGCTTTGTTTCTGTTTTTGAAAGACCAAATCCCATGACATTTTGAACTGATTCCGCTGTTTTAAGCAGCAGCTGTTCCCTTCTGTGCAAGTTGCGAGTCTGCTGTTTTCCAAACAAACCATAAATATGCATATTTACATGAAACTCATGCATTTGCTTTCTTGTTAAATAGCACTGGAACAACCTGTAGAATGGCATTCAGTTAATATATTTAACAACATATTTTCCAATATATTTTTTGATGACCTAATGTCAACATGCTTGAAAGCAGGCCAAGAGTAGAGGTCAGACATTTCTTCTTTTATGAGATTCTTTTTGGTCAGAACATGCTATGCTAGGATCAGGAAATACAAATATTACTGCTGAGGTATAGGCATTTGCTAAAGAAACCAATGGGTTTGAGTGAGATTTATGGGTGAAACACAGTGTAAGCCATTAGGTATTAGGAGGAAATTTCTTTCTCAGAGAGTGATGAGGCATTGGCATAATTTGCCCAGAGAAGCTGTGGTGCCCCATCTCTGGAGGTGCTCAAGGGCAGGTTGGATGGGGCCCTGGGCAGCCTAAGCTGGAGGAGGGCAGCCCTGACCATGGCAGGGGTTGTGGCTCGGTGGGCTTTGAGGTCCATTCCCACCAAAGCCATTCTGTAATTCTATGACTGATCCAGTGATTCAGAAGCGTTTCCATACCGATTAGTCCTGTGCTGTAGCCTTGTTGCTGCAGTATTTTGGCAAAAGTGGTCTCATTTGGAGGGAGCCCTCCTGAGCCACCATTCCAAAAAATAACACGGTAATTGTTTATAGCATCCATTCCTACAAAATAATAGTAAAAAAAAACTCAATAAGTATAACTGGTAGTTTTATTAAATGGACTTCCTTGTTTCCTGGTTTCATTGGTATTACAGGGTTAAATATTTGTCCTAATGCTGTTAGCTTGGGGACATGAATCTAGGACAGTGAACAAGGACAAGAAAGAGTTAAATCTCTCCACTGCATGATAGCTATCCTCTGCAGCTCACACTGCACCATTTTAATCTGCACTGGCACAGTTACACAGATGTATTTATATGTTGCAGTAACATCCAGGCTGCAAGCAGTGCACTGGCCTAGTGTGGTGGTGAGGACAGGGAGCACAGGAGGGAGATTTTGGACCTCTGTCACCCTCAAACTCCATCTTGCATATGGCTGCCTGGGAACTCAAAATACTCTGCAGAGTGGCAGAGCTACTACTGTATGGCTGCTGAAACCCACAGAGAAGCTACATGGCACCATGGTCTTCTCCACATCTACAGGTTTACACCCTGTTACTCAACTTTATATACTGACATAACCCTGTCATATGATGTAATGTAAAGTATGAAATGCCATGGAAGCACTGCATGTCTTGGCCTTGCTGTTACAGTGGGAGACAAGGTCTATACAAGCGCATGTGCATTTTCCAGTCTCAGTGCAAGTTATCAGTACAAAAATAGGATTACACATTGGCTTCAAAATGCCTCAGGAATGAAGACAGTGAGGATCATTTGCAATAGGACCAGTAATACAGTCACTGCCAGAAACATACAGAGCTACTTGTTTATCATACTTCTTCAGTTCAAGAAAGCATTTTGATAGAATAGTAGTTTTAAATCAAAAACAGAACTGAGAAAAATAATACAGCTGTCAAACTGTAATTATGTAGGACAGATGCATTCTGATCCACAGATAACAAATCTGTTCTGCAAACAACTTGCTCTGCACCCAGACTAGAGGGAACAAACAGAAATCTACAGAGATCTCTGCAGATCTTTGTAATGACTTATCTGAAGGTAATAAGCAGTACCAATTCCATTCTAGCTGCGCTAGAGCACCAAAAGGCAAACAGAGTTACTAGGTGATGGGGAGCAATCTACTCTGCAGAGCTGGCTTTCCCCCTGCCCCCTCAAGGCTGGTTCATTGTACCCCATAAATACAGATACAACATCAAAGGTATTAGACCTAGCTGGTGAGTCTTCATGTGCCTTCATGTCCACAGCACTCTCATTTCTTTTGTGGTGATCATATAGCACTGTTCCATTCAGCAATAAAGTAATGTTTAAAGGCCACTTGGCTGTGCAAAGCAAACCTGATCGAATGGGATATCTGCCAGTGAGAAACGCTGCTCTGCTGGGGGTGCAAAGTGGAGCTGCAGAGATGTGTTGGGTCAGCTTCACTCCTTCCCTTGCCAGGCGATCAATGTTTGGAGTCCTAAAAGCACAACCAGCATTGTCAGATATCAATCGTAGAGCCTTCAAAGGAATGGGAATGAGGAATAATACACTTACCTGTTTTGGGAATCTTTTTTGTACTTGAATTATTTTATCTTTTTTATTTTATTCAAGATTAGATTTTTTCTCCCCTTCGTTAAAAAGAAAAAAAAGCTGTCTGGATACATTTCAAGACAATTATTCCTTCTTATTTCTTACCATTTCATATGCTACTGAGGTTGTTCGTGAATGGCACCCCACTGCTATTGAAGAAAAGAACTCAAGCCTTGAGGATATCTTACGCTAGAGGCCAAGCCATGCAGAGATGACTGCCAGAAACTGCTGGTTGGTGTTGATCAGGGTGAGATTCTGATAACTTTTCTGGCTTAGCAGGGTAATCACACAAAGTTTGGTGACAAGCTGGTAGAAGGCCAAAAGGCATTAATGTGGCATGATTTCCAAAGAAAAGGCAAACTCTATGTCCTCAAATTTGTAAACAGAAATATTTTCTATTAACATAATTCACATCAGTGATTCGCTTGATGAATGACAAAGCTCTTGAAAGAGGATGCAATATTTCTATCTTCAGATACATGCAAGTGCTTAGCGTTTCTCAGTTTACATATTCCCAGATAAGAACAGCTCTGCATAGCAGAGCTGGCCCTGGGAACGCCCTCTAGGGTGTAAGATACTCCAGGTAGTGTTATTTACATTTACATAGTGACTCCCATAGGAAATCTCCCCATTTCTGCAGTAAATGAATTTGAAGACTGCTGTAATGGCTGGTGATGGGCAGAAGACTGAAGGCTTGCATCAAATATCAGCTCTGTTCATTAATATGCTGTTTCCTTACCTGATAGTATCATTCCCGTAGCAACCTACATCCCCTATACCAAGATCATCAGCCAACAACAGGACAAAGTTTGGCTGAGTGATAATGGAAGGCTGTGTCATTAGTGGCTGCAGAAGCAGACTGAAAATCAGGGCTTTGAGCAGGCATGTCCTGAAACACAGGAGAAGGAAGGAAGCCAATGATCTGACCATTCATCCCTCTAATATTACAGTGGTAAAAGCAAGAACGAACCAATCAAACAAACAGAAAATCAGATTGTGAGTATGCTTTACAGAAAGCCCATTCTTTTATAATACAGTGTTCTGTCATTATTATATAAAGTTAGATGGCTTCAGATTTAATAATAATATTAAAATATTTCATGAACTTTTTCGTACCAATGTGACATTTGTTGCCAAATCATTTCTGCAATTGTAGCGTTCAGATCCTGTAAAACCAAGAGAAAGAGCCTGGTTAAATCTGCATCTTTCTAGTTGTCACTGCCATAAAAATAGATAAAAAAAAAAAACTTAATCAAAGCCCATCAGCATCCATTTACTTGCTTTAGTTTGACTTTGATCAGCTTGTAAATGAAGAAGAGTAAAAGCATTTGTATTATTTTTATTGATAGGATGTCTTCATTTCTTAGAGGAATTTTGCTCTTTTGTGAAGATGTTACACTTAAAATAGCAAAATAATTCTCCTTTATTACACAGCTCAGCTTTTTAAAAAATAGTATTTAGTCAAAAAGAAGTCAAAATCTTTTTGAAATCCCATCTTTTCTATCATTTATTTTTTCTGTAATCACTGCAATAGTAACAACCTGCTGCTTCTTCACATAACGTGCCAAGTTTCCTTTCAGGCTCATGAGATAAATCTTCAGCCATATAATCTCTAGTCATACTCTTTCAATGAAGAACAGAAGACACTACATTTGTGTCCTCTTATTGTATGACTTCAAACTCCAAGCTGAGCTTTTTTCACCTTTGTATGTATCAGATTTTGGGGTTCTGTGCTATTTCTCCCCTCTGTCTACAGCTTTCTGCAAAGGTTCCTATCGGGATTTTTCTTTGACTTTGAGGGCAAGACAAACTGTTTTAAAGTTAGAAAAATGATCCTCTATCCCAGGCTTTTCAATAGAATCCTTTCAATTTTATCTCGTGTCTTGTGGAACCATCCCATGTCCCACTTTTCAAAATTGTGCTGGTTTAACATTTTGTTTCCCAGAAACGATAATATTTAGCATTTTAGTTAGTAATCATGGTTAATACATTTTATTCCTCAGTGTTATAAGCTTCAATGGGAAGATTTACTCCTCTATACTTAGAAAATCATTATTCGGCCATTTACAATACCTCAGTACTGATACAACGTTGCTATCTACAGACACTCAGACTTCTGCACCTTGGCTTTTGTCTTCGCTGCAAGACAGATATTGGGGTATACTGCAGTTTTATATATGCATACTATATGCCTCCAAAAGTCAAAATTAATGGGATGTGGAAATACTCAAATTTAGGTGTAATTTCTTATCTCAACCTGCCTGTGCTTCATAGTTGGATTATCTTGCTTCAAAGCATGGAACTCCAGGCTGGACTTCTTAGAAGCTGGCTGTGAATAGCAGGCAATGTACAGAAAACAGCTTGCTGCACTGCCTGACAGTTACCCCTGCCTGGCCACTGCCTCACTGACGGCAGTGGGAATGCTGCCACAGAAACCTTGGTAGCTCCTGGGGGGTACGAGGGCTTGTTGGAGAAGTTCTCCTAGTTCATTAGCTTTTTGAGAAGTCAGCAGGGGCCCTGCTGTGGGCAGCCAGCTTCTCTCAGGCCTGGCTTTGAGTGCTTTGGAGAACCAACACATTGAGGGGCCTCCATGGCCAAGATGCCACAAGCAGCTGCTCTCACCTGAACTGAACACAGCTGGAAGCAAAGTTCTCCTGTCTCATTAGTTAGCACCTCCAGGAGTAGTATCTCTTTCTTCATCCATTTTAATAATCCTGAGGAGAAACAGCTTGCAAATCTTCTATAGTTTACTGTTTTCCTTTACTGACTGAACTTGTAAAATCTCTTTACTTCTCTATCAAAATTCTCACAAGATAAACATTTACATTTTCAGCTACACCAAGATTCACATTTCCCAACAGCAGCAGCCAGTTGTGACATCAGCTTGGCAGCGCTCCTTGAAGGCTCTCACAAGTTATATTCCATTCAGTTTGGTCCTTCTCAGTCTGTGAAAATTTCTTCTAAAATTTCCTAATTTATAGACTTCATTTAGGTAAAACAAAACAAAACAAACACAAAACCAAAAAACAACAAAACAGGCACATTCAGGATAAATATTCTGCAGCTAACCGCTCTCACTTTGAACACAGACATGAATGAGAACAATGCTGTTGTTAAGGGAAATGCCTTCTGAACACTTCCTTGAGATATTTTTATCTACAGCAGCAAGAAACTTTTCCAAATGCCCATTAAAATGTTCCTGTGCATTTCCAGAGACAGCAACGGAATATGAATACGGTACCTGGCAGTATCAGGTTAGGCTCAATGCAGGCAGCTGAGGCACTGGACTGTGATCTTTCAGCCGACTTAAAACCATTCCAAACTTTTCAGCATGACCACTGCTACAGCAGTGCAGCTTCCCGCATCTGTTCTGAAGGCAGTCCTTAAATCTGCCCTGGCTGCTCATGCGCACTTCCCCCCAAGAAAAGCCGTGCTCTACCACACTTGGACGGGCTGACTTGTGCTGGGGTCCCTCAAGCTGTGTGTTCCTGCTGCCATCTGCACAATGGCAACATTCATGCAGGCAACAGGGTTGGGCTGGCATGCTGGAGGTGCAGCTGAATGGCTGCTTGCCCAGCCACTGGTTTCTCTCGGGAAGCATACAATCTCCTTCAGGTCTGACATGCTCCAATAAAGATGCAGTAACAGCTCCTAATAAACCTCTCCTCACTTCCACTCAGAAAAACAAAACAAAACAAAACAAAACAAAACAAAACAAAACAGAAAAGTGCTGTACTTACAAAGCAGTATTTCTTTGCCTGTGGAAATTGAGCACAAATCTTCACTTCATAGCAGCCCTGAGTGCCTGCAGCAATGACAGTATCACCTCTGCATTTGCAGTAGGATGCAGACTTAGGGTGTGGTGAGGAGGTGGAAGGAAGAGACCTGAATTTACTTATCCAGAAAATGAGTCATTTGGCTGGACATGTGAATGCTGCCTGGTTTCTTGTCAGTGCTCAAAGGAATGGTTTAGCTACATACAAGCTAGTGCGTTCTTTCTTGATTTTCTTGTTTGAGCCCTGTCAGACCAAGTGTTTTGGAAAAGATGCTATCAAACAGCTATCTTGCAGTGCCTGCAGAGAATTTCCTGTGCTTTCATATGTTAAAAGAGAAGGGACGTTTTTAGATTAGGATTTGGAGGTGCACCAATGGCAGTGCTCAGGTTGGTTTATTCATGGAGCACCTGCATGGCTGGTGTTAGCAATGTCAGCAGTGTATATTATTCCTCTCCCATTTTCTCCTGAACCCAAACTTCTGTGCTGGGATGGTTACAGTTCTGGGCACACACACACAGGAGACGTGATGTGCTTGGTATCCCTTTTCTTCTGTTCTCAGTGCCTGCTCCTTATCCCCAACCTTCACTATAGTCACCCAATCTGTACATCTCTATTTCCTATTCCCATTCATGTTAGTATTTCAAGATTCATTAACATGCAAAGGATTCCTTGTTGTCGGATGCCCTCTGCTGCTGCATGTTGTCTGAAAAAATGCACGTTTGGAGGTACTGTGTCTTTCTGTTCAGGATGCCATCAGTCCCAGTGCTGACTGGAGCAGGCTCTCATGCTTCTTATTATTTTATTGCTTCTTTTATTGCTTCTTATGTTTTTTCCATGACTTCTTACAAATTATATAGTATTTGTAATGGAGAACCACACTCTATAACTGCTATGTTATTTACTAAATTTACAGTGTAGCAGAAAATCGAGTTCATGTCTGCAGTGACATGGCAGGAATGTACCTCCTATCTCCTTGTTTTATCTAGGGCCTTCAAACCCAGAAAAAGCTGAATCAGAATACCACGGCAAGAAGCACTGCTTGAAATCTGCCTACTGGAAACTGACTCCTGGGCACAGCCATAGTGTGAGGAAGATATAGAAAGAAGAGCAGACCTTGTGGTTTAAGCACACCCCTCTTATAACAGCAACTTGTATTTATTTTGGTGTATGATCTTGGAAGGGGAGAAAGATGAAAGCCACATACAGAGGGCTTCTTCCCAAGGCCTAGGGCTCTAAGCTAAGCTAATGCTGTTTCCAAACACTGTGCTACCTAGCTCTGCCTATTTTCTGTGGAGAAATCTTCAGAAAGTCTGTATTTATTCTGAACTGGGAATGAATGTGGAAGTCTTGCACACTCTTGTCTTTTACCCTCATTTCCTTTAGAATGGGTGCTGGAGGAAGTAGCACTTACTGGCCTTTGAAATACTTAAAACATCTGAGAATCAGAAACCCCAGACTGGTAGCAGTTTTGTATAGTACGATGATTAAGAAGCTCCCTCTAGTGACTAATATATTTTTGAAATCTTGTTGCATTTCAAACAATATTCGATTCATTCTCTGCCTTTCTGGAAGTTACTGCTGCTTTTATTTTCTATTCAGCTAAAAAAAAATATATTTTTTTTTTATGAATTTTGTTCCCATTATTATTTCTTTTTCTGTTAGAAACAGTAGGTGTAAAAAGAGCACTTAAAACAGAATGCAATGGGCACAAACTGAAACATAAGAAACTCTGTCTAAACGTCAGGAAGCACTTTGCCACTGTGCAGGTGATGGAGCAGCGGCACAGGCTGCACAGAGGCTGTGGGCAGTCCTCCTTGGGCATCTCCAAAAGCTGCCTGGATGTGGCCCTGGGCACCCTGCCCTGTGGGAAGGCCCTGCTTGTGCCTTCCAGACTCAGCCATTCTGTGGTCCTGTGAACTGTGACTGACTGGATTTCCCTTGTGTGTATCCCAGCTTCTGTAAGAAAAGTAGAAGTTGGATCTCTTCAGGTAAGGGAAATCTTCAGTCAGTGAACCTCAGTGGGAAATAAATTTTCTCATGCTGCCTGCACATAATTCAGACTAGTAAGGCCTTTGTGCTGCCCTTGGTCATGCCTATATTTTGTCCCAGGTTTGTACATGCTTTTATTTCTATTGCCTGCTTCCCACTCAGGACTGTACAGCCCTGTGCTATCCACATCCACCGGTGTCTTTAATGCTCCAGGGGTTACCTGTCTCTTCTAAACCCATTATTGCTCCCACTGCTGGCCCCTCTAGACTATGCAGACTGTTTACACATCCATAATGTCTGCATGGATGCTGCTATTTAACAACTGTCGCATGTAAGTTAAATGATTAACAAGAGGTAGGTGGGCTCCCATCTTCCCTTCCACTGCAGTAAAGGTAGTCATAGCCAAATCTGTGTGAATATATATACATACCAGAATTTACAGAGCTTATTTCAAATACATAAGCTCATTTTTTTCTTCCATGAGAAAGAGAGTCGAAGATTTCAGGCAGTTGAGATGGCTAGACTAAAATTTACACTGAACATACTAGAGAAACTTCAGCAAAACAAGAATGTGCTGATCTTTCTGCTTGGGATATAGTGATGAGATCCAATAAAGATGAGCTATAAAATACAAAAGATAGATTTTTCTTTCGAAAATCTGTGGAATCAAAACATGTATCTAATACATTCTTAAAAACTCTGCCCTTTAAAACTGCTTTAACCTGTCAGAGGCTGGAATAAAGCATGTGCTTGAGGATCTGAAGGTATTACTGTCTTGTGTTTTATGAAGTTTCCAGCACTGCAACTGTTCTTGCAGATACCAAGAGCAATACTGTTAGTGAAGAGCTAGTAGATCTATGGAAGGATGGTTAGAAGTATAAACTATTTCATTTCAGACTGTTTTCTTATGCTGAATCTAAATACACTCACATGGGTGGAGACAATCAAGAAAACTATGAGAATTTTACAAAATTATTCTAGAAACATGTTAATTTATAAGATAGTGAAAAACCACATGCAGCTATTGACGCTGAAAGAACTTGATAAATGTCACAGATTTTTAATATTTCCTAAACTTGAGTATAAAGTCTAAATGCATCTGCACTAATATACTTCTTCAAAAATTTTCAAGAAGTAGAGGTGGTTTTAGTTCCCATTGTTTATTCATGAGCAATTAATAATAATGGATATTAATAACTGGGAATCATACAAAATTCTAGTAAAATAAACAGCCTGCAAACTTTGAGTATTCCCTATTCAAGTCAATTTTTTTGTCTGTTGTAAAGTGATCCCACGAAAAACAACATGAGTAAATCCACAACAGAGGAAATCTGTTACACAGCATCCACAAAGGTATGGAATTTGAGAATGCAAAAGGTCTTGAGACTCCTTAAAAGCTGGGAGCAATATCACAGAGCATGTGTTCCGTGCAGATTACACATGGCTTGCAGGGCGCAGAACAACACTTGTGTGTCTGAAAACAGCTCAAATAGTGAAGTCAAAAAGGGAGCCTGGAGTATGTTTTGGTAATAACTTCTGTTCTAAAGTTACAGAAATGCTGCTCCTTGTTACTGCAGTTCACAGGCCATCTTAAAACTGTGGTATTTTCCCGGCAATTGAGAAAAACTGTAGTTTCTGAGTTTAGCATTTCAACAGCCATGACACGATTTGTTTTCAAGCATACTAGTTGTAGTCCTTACCACTGAGAAAATAATGAAGAGATAAGAGGGTAATACTGAGCTGTACATACAAACAGTTTCTGTTAAATCAAAGTCCTTTGAAACTGTATTTTTGTATTACAAAGCATGAGGAGGAGCACTTGTCATTCAGAATTGAGAATCTATTTCATAAAACAGGACGTCTTGCTTGTTTCAGATCACAGATTTCATGAGTTATCTGCTGGAACAACTGAACACATGAACTAATGACCCAGCACTGCAGAAAGGGGACACATGCATTCATAACAGGGATGTTTGCACTCCAGGAACACAGTTTTTGCTCCAGAAATCAGTGGTGGGAAAATTCCTAATAAAGCCACATTGAAACAGATTTGCTGTGATGGTCTACATGGAACAAAAACATGGATTAGTAGCTGTGAAATGTTTTTATATCAATGGCATTTTTAAGCCAAGGCTGTACTACAGTCTTCTGCATAGCTTAGTTGGTCAAAGTTGTGACCAACCAGTTCACTGTAGGAAATCAATGACTAAAAGGAACCAAAATGCCAGAAATCAGGACATTTTTGGTACAAAATGTGTATTCAGCAGGAGTGACTAGCCAATGCCATGCCATCCAAATGCTCCTATAATGAACGTGGTCTCAATTTTTCCACTCATAAGTGTACTGTATTTTCTTTTAACATCTCACTTCTGTAGTCTTTTGCAGGGAGGTAAGTGGACAAGCATACTGAAATATCCCTGAAGTTGTTGATTGCACCTTAAGTGCTGAGATCTGGAATTCAAATACTGTAGCATCAGTAGCCTTATAAAAAGCTGAGAACTCTCTGTTTTTTCTTTTTTAAATTTAAATTGCCATTTATGTGCTGTCTCCAATTACCTATCCATTTATGAAGTTATAGATTGAATTCTTTTTCCCCCATGTGTACCCTATATTTTAA